GAATGCTGTGGGAATGCTGGGGGAATGCCTGTGGGAATGCTGTGGGAATGCTGTGGGAATGCTGTGGGAATGCCTGTGGGAATGCCTGTGGGAATGCCTGTGGGAATGCCTGTGGGAATGCTGTGGGAATGCTGTGGGAATGCTGTGGGAATGCTGGGGGAATACCTGTGGGAATGCCTGTGGGAATGCCTGTGGGAATGCTGTGGGAATACCTGTGGGAATGCCTGTGGGAATGCTGTGGGAATGCTGTGGGAATGCCTGTGGGAATGCTATGGGAATGCTGTGGGAATGCTATGGGAATGCCTGTGGGATTGTCTGTGGGAATACTTGTGGGAATACTTGTGGGAATGCCTGTGGGAATACCTGTGGGAATGCCTGTGGGAATGCTGTGGGAATACCTGTGGGAATGCCTGTGGGAATGCTGTATAATACCTGTAGAGGACCGCCTGGGAAGGCACATGGCAATTTTCCTTAATTATAGTCAGCTGAACTCAAGGTGTAGGCAGAGCCACACCTTGGGAACATGTTTCCCCAAGATGGTGGACATGTTGTCAGCTTGGACTTCATATCAGCCCAGGTGTCAGCAGGGGTGGGACCAGGCATGCTAGAGCCTACTTAAGAATGCAAATAAGTTGAAGTTACTTCCTGGTATTGGAGTATAAAATAAATGCACTGGGAATGGTCGTCATCTTCTTCCTGCCTCTCCAACAGACAGTATGGCAACCCACCCAGCTCCCAGCTTAAAATCTATCTCTGTGTCTCCTCTCTTTATTTCTAATATTTCTCAATCCCTGGCCGCCTCCACTTAGAACCAGTTCGTTCATCTCTCTTTTGGTGTGGGACTCGGAAAAGGGAGATCCCTGCCATGTCTGGCCCCTGCCGCATCAGGCCCCCACAAATACCTGTGGGAATGCTGTGGAATGCTGGGAGAATGCCTGTGGGAATGCTGTGGGAATGCTGGGAGAATGCCTGTGGGAATGCTGTGGGAATGCTGTGGGAATGCCTGTGGGAATGCCTATGGGAATACCTGTGGGAATGCCTGTGGGAATGCTGTGGGAATGCCTGTGGGAATGCTGTGGGAATGCCTGTGGGAATGCCTGTGGGAATACCTGTGGGAATACCTGTGGGAATACTTGTGGGAATGCCTGTGGGAATGCCTGTGGGAATGCCTGTGGGAATACCTGTGGGAATGCCTATGGGAATACCTGTGGGAATGCCTATGGGAATACCTGTGGGAATGCCTGTGGGAATACCTGTGGGAATACCTGTGGGAATGCCTGTGGGAATGCCTGTGGGAATACCTGTGGGAATGCCTGTGGGAATGCTACGGGAATGCCTGTGGGAATGCTGTGAGAATGCTGTGGGAATGCCTGTGGGAATGCTGTGGGAATGCTGTGGGAATGCTGTGGGAATGCCTGTGGGAATTCCTATGGGAATCCCTGTGAGAAGCTGTTTTTCCTTAGAGAACACCTCCGAACACCTTAGAGAACACTGAAAAATAATATCCTAGTCCATCAAGCTAAGTCTTGACTATTTTAGCTTAATATTTTCTTCAATGTACATTTTACAAATCTCCTAAGAAGGCCTTAGGAAAATCCTAATACTGCACCCATAGACACCTACTATTCGATAAGTAACACCTCCTGGCGAGTCCCCCAGATGACTGAGTAGGAAAGTGGTGCCCTGTGAGGAGCAGTGCGAGCCTCACGTTGTTGAATAAAAGCCAACTCCACGTTGGAGAGCATCTGCCAAAAATGACAACTGGGGGTTGGAGCAGTTCATCCTGAGCCATTTCTTCTGACAGTAATGAGGCCATTCCTGGTTGGTGACAATAAAACCATGTCATCTGCATAGAAAAGACTCTTAACTTTCCCTTGCTCGTAACAAAGGCCATTCATCCAACTCATCCAAAAATCCTTCCAAGTCATAAAGTGCCGTTAAAGGGAGCAGGGGCCAAAGCTCTGGTTCCTGTGCTCTGCTTGAAATCATGGTTGGATTCCCCAAGACACACTTCCCTTCTGACTTCTGTCCTCTGTGCTGAGGGGCATGTTCTGTCCCTACGCCTGGGGCAGGTGAGGATTAGTACTGAGCGCCCATTTAGCCCTCAATTGGTTTCTCTCCACATAATTACTTTCCCGCCACTGAGTTAAAGGTTGAAATCAGTCATTGCCCTTGCAATTCTTGTATTGTTCCTGACAAGTTTTTGCACAAGTGATATGAAAAGATCAATAGTATAAAATAAATATGCTGAAAACCCAAGGGTTTCTTCATTACAAACTGTCAGCCAGACACCCTCAGCCTTGCACTCTATAAAGGAAGAAAATTGACAGGTGGTTTTTTTGGAATATCAAGGAAAACAATGGGTCCATCATTTGGGGGGGAGGGGTACTAGAGAATGAGCCTTTAAAAAGTGGGATAATCCACCCTTTTGGTCCATCCTGACAAGACTTTATGTGTAGAATTATCTGGAAAGTTTTTAATTTTCTTGCACACATGCCACGGAAGTCATAGCCAAGATGACTCTCATTGATTTCCCACCGACCTGGTATCCATACCCTTGCGTAGTCCCCTCCCATGTTGTGTCAGGTTGGTCTATGTGGCCAATGCAATATGTCAGAAGTAGTGGTATGTCACTCCAAGCTTAAGTGTCAAAAGACACTGCAGCTTCTGCTTTGGTCTCTTTCTTAATAATTCTCTCTCTCTCTCTCTCTCTCTCTCTCTCTCTCTCTCTCTCTTCTCTCTCTCTCTCTCTTTCTCCCTCCCTCCCTCCCTCTCTTATCACTAGTCCAGGAGATTTAGCTTCTATGTTGTAATCAGCTCTATGGAGAGCTCTACATAGTGAGCACTAAGGCCTCCAGCCAACACCCATGTAGGTGAATCTTCTTGGAGGCAGGTCCTCGAGCCACAGTCCAACCTTCAGATAACCAAAGCCCAATTGACATCTTAACAACTTCATGAGAGACCCCGAGTCTGTACCACCCAGCTAAGTCACTCCAAAATTCCAGACCCTCGGAAACCATGTGACATAATTTTATTTTGCTTACTGGCGGTCTTTATCAAACCAAGAACTACAATGACAAAATCCACATTTACCCAAATTAAAATGAGCCAACAAAGCCAGTTTTAACTGGCTGACAACGCCCTTGGTAATGGGTAAGGAGGTAAGCCTGAGGCATCTCGTGGCATTTCAAGAGATCTCAAAAAAAAAAAAAAAAAAAAAAAAAGCAATTCACTCCTCTCTTTGCAATACCCCCATTCTCTGAGGTGCAACCATGAGTTCTAATAGCCTTGCACATGGCCATACGTATGGTCAAGGTAGAAGAGATGTTATCCCTTCATCCCTACCTAAAAAGCATCTTCATGAACATAGCAATAAATAAGACAGACTAACTGTAAGACGATTTATAGCACTGTGTCCTTCAAACTGCTTACCATAATTTGTAATTATTTTGTCCACTTGTCTGCTTGTTTATTGTGCCTCCTTTCTGATCTGTAACAGGGCAGAAGCCATGTTGGTCTTACTCAGTACTTAGCCTGGCGTCAGACACATAGTAGGCACCAAAGGAATGTTTGCTGAATAAAGGTCTTGGCCATGCACTAGCACCCAGAAATACTAGACTCGATAAATCCCCTATTGAGGCCTGGTCCTCTCAGCTTGATACAGCTGTCCATAAGGAGGTATGATCTATATATTATATATGATATTGCGTATGTAACAGTTCTCCCACTATTTCCAGAGCAGTTCACATAACAAGTCCTTCACCAACCTGATATTCTGATCTTTGGAAGCTATTCTGACTGACTGCAAATAAGTGATATAAATGGAGGCTTTTAACCCAGAACCCCAGATCCAAGCAGACTGAACTATGAATCGACTTTAAGCCAGGTCCAGCCTCTGGAACCAAATGAGAGAGAGAGAGAGAGAGAGAGAGAGAGAGAGAGAGAGAGAGAGAGAGAGAGAGAGAGAGAGAGAGAGAGAGAGAGAGAGAGAAAGCGCGCTCCCTGATCTGTCCTGTGTGCTAGGTATTGCCACCCGCTGTTCAGGAGGAGAGACTTCTGCAGGACTCTGTTTCCTGGCATTAAAGGGTATACAGCAGGCACTTCACTGTGCATCCACCCCATGGGTAGTTTCCTCCCGGCCCAGAGAGGAACTCTGTTTCCCAGCCCCCGTGCATGGGGCAGAGTCATGTGACTCACCCTGGACTCAGGACGTGAGCAGCAGTTCCAGGAACCACTTCCGATTACAGAACTCCCTCCTCGCCCCCTCCTGTCCCTAGGAAACTTGGAGCCCAGGACCAGAGGACGGTAGCATCTCACCTGGGAAGGAGCCTGGGTCCCTGAACAAATGTCCAACTCCCCTGACTGTGACACCGGCTCCCAATAGTTTAGGGCTTACGGGTGCCCAGAGTCCCCTAGCTGGACCCGAAAGCCTGACAGTTCCATGGGGAACAGCTCCTAAAACTGACCCCCTGACTTTCCTGGTTCCCCCTCTCAGGTGAGTCCCGAACTCTCCCGACTCACCCTCCTCGGGGTGTGAGGATCAGCCTTCCCCACCCCCACCTGCCACCACCACCCTCTGACCAAGGTCTAGATTCTAATGTCTTCATTCCTGCGCACACTCGCTCCAGGGACATCTGTCACTCTCCTGTACATCGGCTCCCGAGCCCAGCGTGGCATTCTGGAGCTCCCCAAGAAGGCACTTGGATCACACCATCATGGCATCCACTGCAGCCCCTTGGCCTGGGCCTCTGTGCCCCCACATATTTGCAAACACACCTGACAGAGACTTCTTGTTCCAACACCCAGCAGACTGCACCCTGGCCCAGCCTCCAGCCCGAAGGAGACCCATAAACCCTCCCGGCTGAGTAAACACATTTTATTGGGCCAGCGGACACTTCCTGGCCATCCTGCCCCACCTTCCCTTGTCCTGCACCAGCCGGACCATTTCCCCTGCACAGCCTCAGGCCCCCCAAACCCATCCTCTAGCTCCCCTTTGCCCCCCGCCCCCTTCCCCCGACACCTGCACCCTGGCCCTAAGGAGGGTGGAGAGTTTCTTCCTTATCAGCCGTTTTACTGCCCCCTCCTCCCTGGTTACACAGCCGCTGGGAACAGAGCTCCTGGCCAGGGCAGGCTGTGCCTGTCAGCTCCCAGCCCACGGCTCCGGGGCACAGAGAAAGGCCCTTCGGTGCTCCCTCGGGGGCAGGGAAGGGCCTGCAAGCCGGAAAGAAGCAGAAAAGACGCCAAAGGCAAGCAGAAACATCCTGTCCCGATGCCCACGGAGAGGTTTCTAAAGTGAGGTCGGGGAGCGAAGACAGTCAGGGCGAGACCAGCACTCAGCCCATCGGCCCATCACCCATCGGCCCATCACGGAGAGCACCTGGCAGTGCCCTGTGACCCCTCCCTGGGCCGCCACCTGCAGGCCATCGGAAGCACGGGTGCTCGGAAGGTGCATTCTGGAGTCTAGACTCCGCGGAGCTGAGAGACAGTCCCGGGGGTCTCTGGGAACACCCTCAGCTGTGGCGCGGCCCCCGACGGAGTTGGCCACCTGGGACCCAAGGGGCCTGGCTGGAACCAGCGGGAAAGGCCATAAGCCAGAGAAAGGGCAAGAAGGTGGACCCACACCCCAGCTCTTCCCTGGGGGCAGGCTTCTCCTCTGTCCAGCTCTGTGCCCTGCTGCCCACTGGCCGTGACCTCAGGGCCTGGGCCTCGGCTAGAGACGGAGGCCGCCCGCCGGAGAAGACCCTTTGCAGTAAGACCGAAGCCAATTTGGGTCCAGCCGGGCCAGCTCTTCCCATGGGACCCGCACCTTGATCCCAGGCGTGAGCGGCAGCGGCCCATGGAAGTCCCTGGGGAGGCAGCGGCGGCGTGCCTGGATACCCCGACATGAGGATCCCGACTCTCCACCTCAGCCCTCCCTCTTGATCCCAGGAGCCTCTTGATCCCAGGAAGCAGCCACCTACCACCAGAGTCACCCTGGGCATCCACAAGCCCCCTCTGCCCTCCTCCCAGCTGCCCACGGAGAGTGCCCAGGGGGGGGGATGGAGAGGAAGGACTCGGGGTGCTATGAGGCCCCCAGGAAGCTGGGCCTGTCCTTCTCCATCGAGGAGATCTTAAAGAGGCCCGCCGAGAGGAGCGACGGGGACAGGCGGGAAGGGGCAGGTGGACGGAGCACCGGGCAAGCGGCGGCTGCAGGCTCCAGGCTAGAGAGGCCCCCCCAGGACCAGCCCCAGGGTAAGTGCCTTCTAGTCATTTCTTATCCGTTCCTGAGTCTCCACGGCCCAGCCGGGTTGCTCGGTGGTGGCAGAGAGAGGGCTCTGAAACCCAGAGATGCCAAGCATGGGGCTGGGGCCTTCAACCTCTATCTCTCTGGCTCAGAAGTATGGCTGTTCCGATGTGACACCAGGCTCGGTCAGTTGTGGGATGCAGGGACAGGGGGCGGGGGGGGGGGGGGGCTGTCCTGCAAGTGGGCCCCCCTGAGCATGCTGCTGCCAGGTACTTACTCAGCAGTCACTACATGACGGGCACTGCCCGGAGGCTGTGTGCCTCCTATTTAACTTCAGCATGACCATAGCCTGACATGTGAACCGAGAGCGGTGGACGGTGTCTCCGAGTTGCCCAACGAGTAAGCAGAAGACCCGAGGTCCGAGCCTGCTCAGGCCGTCCCTAAACACTGCTCAGTCCGCACAGTCTTCTCCTTCGTGAGCGCAGCCCAGCCAGCTCAGCTGGAGTGGCTGAAGTTTTGCCCGGATCTGCCCATCCTGACCCCCACTCTCCCAGCCAGTGCCCCCCGCAGGGCATGTCCCCAAAGGGCAATGACCAGATCCAGACCCCTCCCTCTCGGCTGGCTCGGGGAAGGTACCTCAAAGAGCAGGAGTTGGTGACATCTGTCTCAGGGCTACTCTGGCTGGTGTGAGCTCAGGAAAGTCTCCCACTCGGCTGAGCGTCAGCCTCGGTGACACGGTTGAGTGAAGGAAGGGGAAGCCGAGGTGGTGTCTCAAGTGTCCACTGGCGTCTGAAAGTCGATGTCTCACGTGAGGGTCCCAGTTCTCTCCCCTTTCCCACCCCTTTAGTTCAAGGAAAGGCTGGGGAGGAAGCTCAGGGAACCCCACACACAACCCCACAGCCCCCCAGCTGCAGGGAAGACCATGAAGGGACCCCTCCTTCCCGGGGAGGTGGCGGGTTCCCCTGTAGCTGAGCTTATTAATGGGGAAGGATCCTCAGTGTCGTTTTCAGAAGTTCATTCATATGTTCCAGTGAATTGGATGAGCATTCACAGAAATTATTCTTCCGGGGGAACAACCTTAGTCTCTCCTGCTGCAGCTTCATAGAATCTATGACTAGAGAAAGAGAGAGAGAGAGAGAAAGAGAGAGAGAGAGAGAGAGAGAGAGAGAGAGAGAGAGAGAGAGAGATCTAATATCCCTGCCAGAGGATCTGCCCTTCTCCTAGCTGACAATGGCTGGTGGCAGCCAAAACCGATTTGGCTCAGTGGATAGAGCGTCGCCCTGTGGACTGAAAGGTCCCAGGTTCGATATTCCGGTCAAGGGCATGTATCCTGGTTGCGGGCACATACCCGGTGGGGGGTGTGCAAGAGGCAGCTGATTGATGTTTCTCTTTCATCGATTTTTCTAACTCTCTATCCCTCTCTCTTCCTCTCTGTAAAAAAAATCAATAAAATATAAAAATAAAAATAAAACAATGGCTGGTGGCAAAAAAGACAGGCAGCCACTCATCCTGAGCCTCCATAAAGATGCCACTACATCCACGTCAGCTAGAGCCAGAGCAGACCCCAGGGGGTGGCCACCCAAAGAGCAGCAATGGGTTAGACAGCTCCCCTGGCTCCCAGCACTCCATGGCCATCCTGCCACCTAATTGTCACAGGCGTGACCACCCACTCCAGGCTATTCCTGACGTGGCTTAAACCCATCCACCTTGCGCTCTGCTGGAATCCCGTGTTTCCGAGACCAGTGAAGGTCCCCCGTGGTTTTCAAGATGACTCTGAGGGGCACGCAAAGATGAGATGATTTATGTCAATAGTTCTAATTATCTGTACACAAAGCTTCTGTTTAGGACCCAGGATGCTGGTTCCTCATTTTTTGGTCACAATGTGAGGTTTTCCTTTTAAGTAAGTTTACTTATTAAGTAAACAAAAACGTCTATTTGGGAAGCTGCTAAGCAAATAATAATACAGATGGGACGCCACCCTGGCGAAAAGCACAGAGGTCACTGGCAGAAACTGAAGGAGCAGAGTCTGTGAGACGCTGGGCGAGGGCAACAGAAAGCTGGGATGGCAGGAATCTGGCCTCTGCGTCTAGCTGGCACCGATTCACAAGAAGCCCTCAGGCGAGCCTTGAGTCTTTGAGCCTCAGTTTCCCCATCTGGAGCATGAAAGAGCATTCGAGAGCATTCTTGGGGTCCCTCCCAGCTCTGACACCATGACCAGCTCCATGGCAAACTGGGTGCTGAGAAGCCTTGATAGTTTCACTCATGGCGATTTCCCACGCAGAAGCTTCCTCCCAGCAGCGGGTGTCTCCCCTCCAGGCAGGGCAGGGCAGGGTGGCACAAGGGGCGGCCTTTCCCACCCTCACAGGAACCCCCACCCCCACCCCACCTATTTCCCTCTTGCCATGCAGGACCTCCATCACCCCAGTAATAGCCACAGAGAAGTAAATTCCTCTGGCCTATGTGCCATGTTAAGGGCTCCATGGTGTGGCTGGTGAGGTTCATTGGCACACCCAGGGAGCTCCTGAAAATGCAGTGTGGCAGGCCTGGCACCCAAGACTCTGACTCTAGGTCTAGGATGGTGCCCATGAATTCCAGATCTAACCAGCTCTCCCAAAATGGTCCAAGGATGTAAGGGGTCCTGGGGCCACTTTTTGGGGAGGCTGGGGCCCAGGGAGGCACAGTGGCTTGTTCTGAGCTGCAGAACCAACACCTACGAGAGCCGGGGCCCTGCCAGTCATCCAGGCCAAGGCCAGTGCTCCACTCCCCCTGTCTCCAGTAGCAGCCAAGGTCGTCCATCCTCCCCACATCTTTCCGCACTCACAGGGACCCTCGTCATCTAAGGCTTGGACTCTCCCAGGTCTCGAGCCAATGGGAAATTCCAAGAGGATCTCCCAGCTTAAGAGGATGCTGAGCCCAGCTGACAGCTCCCGCCTTCTGAGAGAGGCCAGCTCCCTGGAGATCTAGGATGTGTCTCATAACTCATTAATGACTGTCCTTAGACCAGCTTCCAGGAGAGCAGGCAGCAGCAGGGCTAAAGGATGCAGAGCTAAAAGCCTGTACTTCCCCCAGGATAAGTGTAGTTTGCTCTCTCTCTCTCTCTCTCTCTCTCTCTCTCTCTCACACACACACACACACACACACACACACACACACCCCTTATCTCAGTCCCTGCCACCAGTCACAACCAACTCTGGCCATGGGGACATTCCTACAGGTCTGGGGGACCGAGAAGCTGGTTCCAGAATTGAGAAGCTGACTCCTTCCTAGGCCTTGTTGGCAGTACAAGGCAGTACAATGCTGGACTCCTGCCTGCAAAAAACAAACATTGCATTCTTGTAAGATCCCCAAAAAGCGGACCTGAAGGGAGGATTTAAGCCCCAGTGCTGAAGGCAGTGACCACTGTGCAAAGCTGCAGCTTCGATCCTTTGGGAAATGGAGCAAATATACTCCTTGGAATGACATGGGCTCTTCAGCCTAGGAAGTCATGCCCTGGCAGTAGCCAGTGACTCTGGAGCACACAAAGGTCTGAGGGACGCAAGCAGGGTGCTGACAACATCACTATGGTAACAGGCCCCCGGCGTGTCTGAGCTGAGAGAAGCCCGAGTGGACGGCAGAGGCTTGAGCACGGGCTGTAATTTAAACTTGATGTATTCATCATATGCTCCATCCAGGCATGCAACGAGCTGCTGCGTGGCTGCCGGGTGGCAGGCTTATCTACTGCTGCACACACACAAATTGTCCCCCAACTCTGGCTCCAGATAACCATGAGCACTTACTATGTCACTCAGATTCCATGGGTCGGGAGTCTGGGAATGGCTTCACTGGGTGGCCTGGCCCAGGGTCCCTGTGAGATTGCGGTAAGGGAGTCATTTGCTGTCACCTGAAGGCTGGACTGGAGTAAAGGATCTGTTCCCACGGGGGCTCACGCTCACGGCTGGCAAGTGGCACCAACCGTCGGAGAAGGCCTCAGTTTCTCCCCAGGCAGGGCTCTCCACATGCTGCATGAGCGTCCTCCCCAAATGGCGGTGGCGTCTCTCGGGGCGAGCAATCCGAGAGGGAGGGAGCCACGTGGCAGCCGCCACTTCCAATGGCCCATCTGTTATGGGAGCCACGAAAGTGGGCCCGCATTGAAGGAGACAAGGATGCAAGGATCTTATCTTAAAGCCGCCACAGGTGTCAGCGGGGAGTGGGGATGCTGCAGAGAGCAGAGCACAGAGCACACGCACAGCCCTGCCCTCAGCCAGCAGGGAAGACGAGTGGCCATCCACTAGTCACAAGGGAAGCGCAATGACGGCGGTGCTGAGTGCTGGGAGGGGGTGACACAGCTCTCTGATGCCTGTTCTCAGGGAGGTTTGGTCCATCCAGGCAGCCAGGGAAGGTTTCCCAGAGGAGGTCATGGCTGTTGCTGTGGGCACAAGGGAACCACAGGAAATCCCTGGAGAGCAGAGTCTCTTGTGGGTCTGCCCTGGGAGACTCCTGCCCTGCACCCCACCCACCTGCCATGTCCAGGAGGCATCCCCAGCCTGCGGGAGGGCTCCCAGGGGTCTAGGGGTGCCCTGGACCTCCCCCCTGCTGAGCCCCCTGCCTCAGGAAGACAAGGACAGGCCCTTGCAGAGACTTGGCCCGGTCGAAGCCCCCTCGGGCCTGTAGCTGAGCAGCCAGGGCCCATTAGCAGACCCCAGAGAAGGAGCAATCAGGGGAGGGAGCCGAGCGTGGAGAAACATCGGTTTATAATTAGGTGGCCTAATCACCTGTGTAAATTGTGTATTTCTTATGATCGATGTGCTAAACGGCTCAGGTTTAATTAAGTTCTGCTGACTCGCTCTCTGTGAAGACCCACCGGAGTGTGATTCGCAGCTCGCACAATTAATAACGGGGAGAGGAGCAAGCTGGAACAGGGGCAGTTTCCCTGCCACCTTCCTCACCTCTCCCTGCCCCACCCCACCCCACCCCCACTCCCTGACACTCCCACCCCACTCCCCATGCCCTCCAGGGTGCCCTCGGCCAGCGCTGCCGGTGTGCTACACTGTGGCCACCAGCTCCTGGGCCTGCGATGCTGGGTCTACACAGGAACTCAAGGGTTTTCTCCCTCCCAATCCAGTTCCCCTTCCACGGCTCGGAAAATGGGGCCCACCACCCTCATCGTCCTCTCTGACTGGGCCCAGGAGATCCCAGCCCTTCCTGGGGATGGAGAACCTTGTCCGGTGCATGGGCACCCCATGCATGAGCTCGTCTTCCCAACCTCTGGTTCACAGAGGTCCAAAATTCTGCAGGCTGAGCTCTGTGTGCTATCTTTTCTCTGTTCCCTATTCCATTGATGCTCTTCTGCCTTCTCTCCCCTGCTTCCTCATTTTCACACCCACTGTGGTCTGTAACTAAAGCCAACGGCAAGGTCACTAACACGCCTTGGCCCCACCCCCTTCCATCCAGAGGAGAGGAAGAGCAAGCGGAGAGTCCGAACCACCTTCACCACGGAGCAGCTGCAGGAGCTGGAGAAACTCTTCCGCTTCACCCACTACCCAGACATCCACGTCCGCAACCAGCTGGCAGCCAGGATCAATCTTCCAGAGGCCCGGGTGCAGGTACAATCCCCCCACTCCCGCCCCACCTCCATGCACCGGGGCCGTGGGGAGACAGTATGGATCCCGGACCCTCCGGCCCTGCCCCATCTGAAACTTGCCATTGGCTTTGTCTCCCAGATACAGTCATTCATATCTGCTAAGCGTAACGCTCCAGGAAAGGAGGTCTCTTAGTTAGAATGTGATTTCTCTCCTTGGGGGTGAAAATGGAGTGAGGTGGCATTGCTGATGGCCATCGACAGATGCTCCCATTCTCTTTCTCTCCACCTGGCTACAGCTTCAGAACATCATCCCCTCTGCAGCCTCACTCACAAAATGCCTCTTGACCATCCAGACCGGGGTCAGCACAGTTTTTCTGGAAAGGGCCAGGTGGTGATGATGTTGGGCCTCGGGGGCCATTTGACCACTGTCACACCTATTCAGCCCTGCCATCTTAGCACAAGAGCAGCCACAGGCCATACACAAACAGTTGAGCATGGCAGTGTTTCAATAAAACTTTATCAATAAACACTAACATGTGAATTTTGTGTAATTTGCATGGGTCACCAAATATTCTTCTTGTGTGGACTTTTTGCAGCCATTTAAAAATGTGAAAACTGCTGAAACCGGTTTGGTTCAGTGGATAGAGCATCAGCCTGCAGACTGAAAGGTCCTGGGTTCGATTTCGGTCAAGGGCATGTACCTTGGTTGCGGGCACATCCCCAGTGGGGATGTGCAAGAGGCAGCTGATCGATGATTCTCTCTCATTGATGTTTCTAACTCTCTATCCCTCTCTTCCTCTCTGTAAAAAGTCAATAAAATATATTTTTTTAAATGTGAAAACTATCCTTTCTTTTATCATTGATTTTTTTTTTTACAGAGAGGAAGGGAGAGGGATAGAGAGTTAGAAACATCAACCAGCTGCCTCCTGCACACCTCCTACTAGGGATGAGCCTACAACCAATGTACATGCCCTTGACCGAATCAAACCTGGGACCCTTGAGTCCGCAGGCTGATGCTCTATCCATTGAGCCAAACCAGTTAGGACTCACTTTTTTTTTTTTCTTTTTTTTAACAAACATGATGGGCTCATTTGAATTCAAAATCTCAGTGAGGGCCCAATTCAACATTCTACTCTTTACCTTGTTCTTCTGGCTAAGGATGCCCCTGCCTCAGGCTCCTCCCCTTCTTCTTTCCATTAGAAATCTGTCACCAGCTGAGTTGGTAGCCCCAGCTCAGTGGTTCACAAGTTAGCGGTGTCTCAGCAGACTGACCCAGTGTAAACGGCCGCGTGTCAGGGACAATCAGAATGCTCGTGAATACAGGGAACGGTCCATGTTCCTGCAGATCCGAGGGGCCCACAGGAGTTGCAAATGGGTGGCCTGCCAGCAGGAAACAGCCCGCGGGTGGGTTTTATCGATACTTGGTCTGCACAGTATTGGAAAGCTCCAAACTTTCACATAAAAATCAAGATTTCTGTCTTAGAAGTTGGATGAGCTTGTAAGGCTGGGCCCACATTTCCCATGGAGGCTGGTGGCTGAAGCGGAGAGGCTGCCCCTTGGGCTTGGTGGGCCATGCACTCCATCACTCCTGATTACGGGGCTCCCCGCTGCTGCCCTCCCGAATGGTCTGGCCCTGCAAGCAGGCACTGGAGGCTGTGGTCCCTGTCCCCTCTCAGAAGGCTGACCCCAGAGCCAGAGAAAGCCTGGGTGCTGTGAGCTTTCTAAACCGCAAAGTCTCTCGGGAGGTGTGGTTATGAGGCATGTTGGGGGAGACACTAAATAGAGAAAAAGAAAAACCCTTTGCTTACCTCCATCCTCTCTCTCTCTCTCTCTCTCTCTCTCTCTCTCTCTCTCTCTCTCTCTCTCTCTTTCCCTCTCTCTCTCTCTCTCTCTCTCTCTCTCTCTCTCTCTCTCTCTCTCTCATCAGATCTGGTTCCAGAACCAGCGAGCCAAATGGCGGAAGCAGGAGAAAATGGGCAACCTGGAGGTCCCGCAGCAGCCAAGTGAGGCCGATGTGGCCCCAGCCGTGGCCGTGAGTGGCTGAGGCACCAAGGGGGCTGGGGACCTGCTATCTGGGAACTTCCCCTCCAGACCCAGATGGAAGGAAGCACCTCAGGGGAATCTTTTTTTTTTTAGAAAGAGCATAGGCAAGGATGTTCTGGAAGTCTGGGGGGACCTGGGACAACTCACGGCCTCTCTCTGTCCCCGTGCCCTCACCCACGGAGTGGCCCTCACAGGCTTCTCCCTCCTCCTTGATTCCTGGTGTAAAAGTCACAGTTTACAGAATAGGGTCATGGAGTAAAAGGCAGTACCTGGGGGGAACCCGGGGGTCCCACTGCCCGGGTTCGAGTCCCAGCTCTGCCTCAGCCGCAGGGTGGCCGGGAAGAGCCACGTGCCCCTCCGAGGACAGGATAGTTTTGATGAGGATGAAAGTATTGGCCGCCCATTGAGCCGCCTATTTGTGTACAAGATGCTAACCTCCGGGGCGGCAGCTCTACACGGAATAGACAGTCCTGGGGCGAAAGGTTTGTGAGGCTCGCAGTCACTGGGAGGCGGGGTTTATTTTAAATATATTTTTATTGATTTCAGAGAAGAAGGGAGAGGGAGAGAGAGAGAGATACATCAATGATGAGAGAGAATCATTCATTGGCTGCCTTCTGCACTCCCCACCCTGGGGACCGAGCCTGCAACCCGAGCATGTGCCCCGGCCTGGAATTGAATTATGATCTCCTAGTTCAAGGTCAATGCTAAACCACTGAGCCATGCCAGCTGGGCAGAATTTTTTATTTACGTATCCTCCTTTTCCTGCTAACACAGAAACTGGGCTCCGAGAAGCAAAGTGACTTCTCCATGTCCAGCAATTGCTGTGAAAGGTGGGATAAGGGCCAGGCTTCCTGGCTCCCGCCCCACCCCTCACCCCCAGCCCCGTGCATACATTTCATAACCCACCACTACCACTGCCCACTTCGTGGGGGGGAGGGGGGAAGGTTGGGGAGCTCCAGGGCCACCCAGGGCCAAAGCTGAGGACTCACGGGCTCCTGACCTCTCCCATGACAGGGCCCCCTGCTGCCGCCGCCCGCGCTGTCCAGGCTGGTGCCTCCCCCGGGGTGTTATCCACCAGACCAAGGTCAGCTGGCCTCTGCCTGGTTTCCTGCTGGAGTCACTCTCCTTCCACACCACCCATGGGAGACACCACCTCTCCCGGGCCCTGTCATCCTGCAGACCTGCGTCCCTGCCCTCTGCGTCCTTCCGCCTCCACACCCCATGTGGGGCAGCATCTGCGCCACTTCCACATAGGGACTGGGTGGACATCCGCTCCCCAGCGGGGCCTGCTCCTCCCCAGGTGACAACTAGTGGCAGGAGGGTGCCCTGGCATCTGGGGGAGTCAACCTCCTGATCCAAAGACGGCCCACATCCCAGGAAGCCACCCAGCATGCCCATCAGAAGGCTGCAGCAGGCTCTGCAGCAAGGTGGCCCTCCTGGCTCAATGACAGAGGCGTTCGGACCTCAGGGGGAGCTCGGGAACCAGGAGGTCCTTGTCTTGCACCTGTGCTTCCTCCAACATGCTGTGTGACCTCCAGCCAGTCACTGACCCTCTCTGGACCTCATCTGTAACAGGAAGCAGCTGGGCAGGTGACTTCTGAGGGCCTTTGGTGAGGTGAACCTCGGTGACAGCAGAGGCATAGAGGGGGCCAATGAGGAGTTGTTGGCTCTCTCATACCTGACACATGTATTGAGTACCTACTGAGCCCTCCGTCAATGGAACTGGATATGGACATGAGCGGCCGAGGCTCCGCCCCTATGAGCTCAGTCGAGGGGACCATCCTGGCCTTCTCCTGCAGGTCCAACCTTCGCCAATGACCTTGCAGTTGGCCCATGTCTATCACATTCTGTGTGGCTTTGATGTGAATGTCTTAAAGAAATATAGGGAAACTTTTTTTTTTTTTTTCATTTTAAACAGAACTCAGTGTCATTGGTTATTCTATTGAATTGGGGAGGGATGTTGCCATTTCTGATCCGAATGAAGAGTGAGATAGCAAGATCTTTGTAGAGTTTATTTCTCAGGACTTTGCAAAGGTACCAGCTACAAGACCAGCCTCACCCTTTCCTGAGAAGCCTAGCACTTCATTGGCCTCCACTGTTTCCTTAGCAGTGTGACCTTGAGCTGGGCACATGCCCTGACTGGGCCTCAGTTTTGACATCTGTAAATTGGCCTGCCCACTTGGCCTGCCACACAGAGCCATCGGGCAGGGTCTGGAAGGAAGGAAGTGAGAGTGCTTTTGCAAAGTGGGAGGCAGGGCCCATTGTGGAGTAATGCTATTGTCCCAGGTCCAAGCAGGAAAGTGGCTGCCCTGGGATATGTCACACCTGCTCCCAGGGAGGCCGTGCATGGAGCCTCCCTTCTGCATGAGGATTGCTGAGACGTGTCCTTCTGGGGGATGACAGGGCCTGCTCCCCTGTGCTGGGCAGGCTGGCCTGACCTCCATAGGCAACCCTAGAAATTCTAGGGTCCTTCTCCAAGCCCCAACCCCTCTGCAGTCTCCCTGGACCCCACCCAGGAGTTGAACTGGGACTCAGCAAGTCTGGGTCTTCGTCCAGCGTGCTGTCTAATCTGCTGGGTACCCTTGCCATTCCATCTCTCTGGCCTCGGCTCTCTCACCTGCCCATGGCGGGCAGCAAGGCCAGCTCTGCTTCAGGCGTGCAATGGGCCAGCACCACAGAGCACAGCCCACGATGCGAATGAGCTTTGCAAACTTGGACTCAAATATCACCCAGAGCCCGAGGTTTAAGACTGCGCCTCACCTCCAGCAAAATCTGGGTGGAAGGGGAAGCCTAGGGATTTGGGAAGCAAACGAATCGATTAACAAACAAAGGCGGGTAGCTCCTCGCTTACTGACTCCAATATCAGGTGCCCACTTCATGGCCCTGAGCTCAAATGTGTAAATGTCATTTTTATCATTTTGCTACAACTGGCTTTACTTCCTGCGTTGTTGGGAGAAAATGTATTCTGGTAACTTCTGTGTTACTGAGACCTCAAACACTCAGGTTTAAACTCAGTCACGTTTGAATTTAAATGTGCCCTCTGCCCCTCTTTTACCCCCCACCCCCACCCCCCCACCGCCCAAGTCTCTGCCAGGTTGAGGGTGGGAGTTGGGAAAGGGTTTATGCAAATGCCTCTATGTTCTCTCCAGGGAGGGGATGTGCACTTCCGGCCTCGGCCTCTGTCAGCCGCTGCTGGTGTCCACTCCATGTGTCTCCGCTGGCTGGCCTCAGGTGTGACCCCTCCTCCCACTTCAGCCAGCCCCCTGTTGGGGGTTCACTCTGCATCCTCCGCTCCAGATGTAAACGCCCTCCTGCAGCCTCTCTCTGCCTCCCAGGTTGTCTCTCAGGGACAGGATGGAAGCTGACAGCTCCCCCACACCCAGGGGGCCATGGCAGCCCCTAGGGCAGGCAGCAGGCTCTCTTTTGAGACCTCTCGCAGCCATTGTTGACGTCATGTTAGAGGCAGGTCATGGGTGAGAGTGCAGATCTGCAGACTTGGCAGTGGAATGGAGAAGCACAGGGCTGCTCTGCTCAGGGGCCCGATATCAGTCTGGGTTGAGAGAGAGAGAGAGACAGAGAGAGAGAGAGAGAGAGAGAGAGAGAGAGAGAGAGAGAGAGAGAGACAGAGAGAGAGAGAGAGAGAGAGAGAGAGAGAGAGAAAGATTTAGTATCAGGAATTGGCTCTCGTGATCTATGGAGGCTGAGAAGCCCCACGACCTGCAGCGATTGAGCTGGAGGCCAGGAGGTGGGAGCGCCAGTCTGAATCCAAAACCAGGAGGTGATGCCCTGGTTCAGACAGGCAGAGAGCAAGTTCTCCCTTCCTCCGCCCTTGGTTCTATTCTGGCTTCATGGTCACCCACGCTGGGAGGGTGGTTGCTTTACTCAGTCTCCCAATTCAAATGTCAGTCCAGGAACACCCCAGAGGAATGTTAAACCAGTCTCCTGAGCACGGGATTGGGGGGGGGGGGGGGGGGGGGCGGAACGGGACAAGTTGATGTGTAAAATTAACCATCACAGTCCCCGTCTCCTGTCCCAGGCAATGCCCTCCTTCCCCCAGAATCCTCTGGAGATAGGGTGGGGCCCACGGCCAGACATTCTGTGATCAGAATGTTACCTTCAGTACAGATGTGACAGGTGATTGCAGGGCCACCTCTTCCTCTCCAGGGAGGGATGTCTTTTGCCCCCACACCCTCATCCCCAGGACCTATCTTACTCCCTTACCTTATATCTGCCAGCTGTGTGACCTTGGGCAGCTGGCATGTCCCCTCCGAGTATGTCCTCTGCAGAGCAAGTTTCCTGTGGCTTAGGGTGTCTGTGACAATTAAGTGAGTTAGTCATTTTTGTCACATAGTAAGCACTACACAGGCTTTAAGAAAAAAGTCATTCCCCAGCTCTTCCTTCTGCCTTCTTCTCCTTTTGAACTTGAACAACTATTCTGATCCCAGACTCCATCCCAGGAATTCTTAAACCATCAGGAGGCAAGGAACTCTCCCAAGAGTACACAAAGGTGTGTGTGTGTGTGTGTGTGTGTGTGTGTTTCCCAGGGAAAGGGTTTGCTACTTTCATCAGCTTTTCAAAGAGCTCTGGGGCTAAAAATAACCATAATAAAGGGTCCCTATCAAGCACACCTGAGTCAATTCCTGACAGGCGCACACTCTAGCTGTGTGGACCAAAGACTTGAGGTCATTCTTTTAAGATTAAAATCATACAGAGATAAAGCGAACAAGCGCAAAGTTTTAACTCACTAATTAATGAGGGAAACCTCAACAGTGGCATCCCAGCAGTTCCAGGGAGAATTGGAAAAACGGATCCATATCGAGGCAATCTGGAACACTGCTGTGAATCACAATGAGAGCAGAAAGGGTCCTAGGCCAGAGAAACACAATTGCATCTCCCTGGGACGCAATTTATTTGCATTTCTATGGACAGAAATCATTTGTCTTGTTACCAGTTCTGCAGATAAAGAGTTGAAAAACAGCTCAAAGACAATGAAGGGTGCAGAAATCTGGGAAGAGTAGGCTAGGCAGAACACCTAGCAATTTTTAAAAATTTATTCTTTATTGATATGTCTCCTTCCCCACCCCCCACCCCCACAGTGACCTCTCCCCGACCACTGCCACCCAGCACATGCCCTCGTGTTCGTTGGTTATGCTTATATGTATGATAGAAGTCCTTTGGTTGATCTCTTACCCGTTTCCCACCCTCAGTAATCTTTATATGCCCATTTCAGGTTTCACAATTTTTCCAGACCCGAAGTTGCTAATTACTCTGAATCTTACCTTCATCATCAATTGAATAGGGATGACAAGACTTGCTTCGGAAGTTAGCTGTGAGGTGATATCAAATGACACAGGGAAATGTTTTATATTTGTCCAACACTATGAATTTAGAAAATCATTATTTACTGCCTTTCAAACTCTAGAACTCAAGTTAAAAGGTTTATACCTAGGATGTGTTTAGATAGACAGAAACATTTCTTTAATACCCATTGGCTCTTGACAGTTCAGTTGCTAAGAAGGAGACAAGCCATAGGAAATGGACCAAGAGCAGAAACTAGAGATTCACAGAAAAGCATACAAATGGACACTAAACCCATGGAAATGTCCTCAACCTCATTCATCATTTTCAAATGTCAGTAAGACGGTATGAAATACATTATTTGATCTGAAAGCGCAGGTTCTCAAGACAGGTCTCCTGACGGTGGCACGAAAGAGTCAGGGATGTTTGGGATGCAAAGGAGGGATTTCTGGAGACCTAGCCTGTGTTCAAATGTCTGAAGGGCTCGTCTTAGGAAGAGAGAAGACCTGCTCTACACAGCCCCTGAGGGCAACACTGGGACCAATATGGAAATTATAGGAAGACAAGGTTAAGGGCAATCCAAAGCCCTAACAGGCCTGGTTTCCCAAAGGCCCCTTCTCCCACCCTTTTTCCAACCTCCTCTCCTTCCACAACCTTCCATGTGCCCTGCCTCCACCACGCTGAATAATGTGAAGCTCCCAGAACACTCTGGCTCAGTCCTATTTCATGCCCTTTGCCCTACACTTCCCTTGGCTAGGAATGCCCTCCCTCTTCCCACCTATTGAAATCCCACTCATGCTTCCAGGCCCAACTCAAAGGCTGCTCTGGCTCTGCCCCATTGCCCTCCACCTCCCCCTTTGTAATGATAACATCTCCCAAATGCTCAGAATATGCTGGTGGCTGTTACAGGCATGTCTTGGTAGTTTAGAAAGAGCTTATATTTATCTTTACAGATAACTTCTCAGAGATAAATTATATGTTATCTTTTATAATGGTTCCTCCTTTTCATTCCCATCACACTGTGTACCTTTATTATGGACTTGGTGGCCCCATAGTGCCACACGCTTTAAATCTCACACCAAATCCTATGATACAGATCCTAAGTGTCAGAGGTGGGTTAACCGACTGAGGGTCACAAAGCAGAAGTCTAATGTGAACTCAGCGTTCCCGGATGCCAAAGCGTTGGATTGCTATAGACAAAATTTATAATATGACTATATTAATGGTATGTGTGTGTGTGTGTGTGTGTGTGTGTGTGTTCCTCTCCATATTAACTGCATCTGTTTTCATTTCTAGCACATTGTCTAGCATATAGTAAATGCCAATGAATATCGAGAAGGGGTGGATAAATGAGTGAGTAAATCCTGCATTGGGCATAGTTATGTATATTATATGCTTCCTCTCCCCCAGCCCCAGTACCCTCTACCACAGTAAACTTCTGAACAACTAGCATAAATAATAAGCAGGACTAGGCTCCTGGATTGCATACAGAATGGAAAAGCAGGCCTTGCAGGCAAGTGTGAAGACTCAGAGAGTGGCAGGGACTTGCCAAGGTCCTCAGGAAGACAACGGTGGCAGAGGAGAGGATGAGCCCACGAGGTCCC